CCAAGGGAATGCAGTCCTATAAACTAAACAGAGCCCTCTGGGACCTTGTCGACTGCCTAGCTTATCATGTGACTATGTTAATCTATCGGTGTATCAGCAAAATCCATAAGATGCCTTCATTTAACTAGGGATCCACTGTGTTACGAATATCACATTGATAGTATACTAAACGTAAATGTTTTCCGGTGGATATTATCTCTTACCGGTTTCTTTGGTGTGTTGCATGTGTCTGCTATTACTACTGATCATGCACCAAACTGATTAACCGTACCCCAGAAAGGGAACATTCGGCCCCGGTAGAGCCTGGGAGACCCTCAGTAAATTTTGACGGTATGCACATTGGACGAAAATGAATATACTGCCTTCTCCTGCGTGTGACCGCGTCCCCTCGGAGAGGTGATCTAACCCATAGGTTTTTCATGCTCCAACAGTGCTCGTGATAAGCTCCGGTTGTTTGGAATTATATAGGTCATCGATATTATATTCCGCCTTCAATTAGCACGGACTTGACGTAGCTGACATACGGAGCAAAGAAAAGGAGGAAAATCCAATAGGAAAACGACAGAGTACTTGTTTCAACGTCCCATGAACAGGGTCTATTTCATATAGGAAAAAACACTGGCCATGGGCTGTCAGACAAGTTTGCTCGGAAGGGATCCAATTTGAATTTCAGAAAGTATAGGGTCTCTGGACTACAAAGGAGCCGAATCGGTTCGGTTGGACAACCCTCCTCCTCGTCCTCCTCTTTGAATAGCAGCACCTGTACACAAAATCTGTGATTGCACACAAAGTTCAAAGTTTTATCATGGGAATAAATTACAATCTCATGCTTTTCTCATCCCACCGGTTCGTGTTGTCGTTAAAACACAGTGATTCATAAAAATTCATAAAAATGTCACATAATACGAGCTTTCTCCCCTGCCGCGAGCAGTTTCACTTATACTGAAATGTAAGGTGTGCTAAAGCTGTATTAAGTCTCAGTTTGAAAGATTCAATGCTTGGCGCACAGACGACGTGGGCTGGGAGAGAGTTCCAAACCGAACACACTCTGGCTGCGGCATTCCAATCGGCATTTTGAGACCACTAGTTTAAATGAATGTCCTCTAAGATGAACGTTAGGTGATAATTTTAGCAACGGGCGACACGGATGACTTGGGCTTTTGCATTATTTGGTATACCATAATCATGTCTCCTCTGACGTGCCGGTAGTGATTGGAATATGACCCCAACGACTCCAGTCTCTCTGCTTATGAATAGCGATTCAAGCCCTGAACCATTTTGGTAGCCATTATTGGTGAACGCTCCAGAATTTCGCAGCCACGTTGTAGCCATGGATTCTATGCCCAGATAGCGTACTCTGTGAATGGGCTAATTATCAAACAAGTAGTCTGATTCGGAATGTTTTCAACTGAGTAATAACCTTGGTGTGAGGGAGACATGGTGTCCTCCCCATGGTTGTGTGGTTGTATACAAAATCAGACTTTCGAATCAATTGCTCACTGTTCAACAGGGTCCAGGGCTTGGGTTCTAACCGAGTCCCGAGTTTGCTATCCTCAATTAGGTCGATGGATTCACTCTGCTGATGAAACAAAACCGGGTCGAGGCGTCTGTTTTCGATCCCCTATTTACGTGTCGAAATTCTTCATGTAATAACAGTTCATTGAAAATTTGCAGCGCTGATTAACATTGATTTCCGGACGGAAAAGTTACGTCATCTTTGAGCATGTTCTCACTTTCCCCGTCACGCACAGCATTTGCCTACGTCTGTTTGGTTTGTATGTGTGCACTGGAGAGGTGGTCTAAATGATAATGGCTTATATAGGTAGTTGTCAACTGAATCAATTATCCGACTGACCGAGAATGATGACATTCAAACTCTGTATGGCATCAGAAATCGAAACCACATCTGACAAGCACGCAAGGCAGACAGAGGCAAGTATGCAATGCTTTTATTGCTCACGTATATATAAGAACTCATTTCTGTTCATGCTAATATATGCTCTAACGTACATCTGTACATATGCATCCATATTACTACAGGGAGCACGTATGCGCTCAAAACGCCGAAAGATTCAGCTATCGTCTACCTAGTCCCATTGGAATACAATATGTTCAGGAAAAAAATTACGTGTGTGGCAGACCACAATTTCGTACTAGCATTTCTCGGTTTGCCTGATTTATTGATTTCTTGTTACCCACCCGGTTGAAAATTGATTCCGATTGCCCACCAAGTGTTTCTGCTATTCTGATATGTGGGACTATTCGATGATTTTTAGTACCCCATTGATCGTTCTTGCTAAGTACTGTTCAGATCACTGAATACGTTCTCTTGCGACTAACGGTTTTGTGAATTCGATATTCATCAGTAAATCGAAGTAGAAACACTGTATCCTCTTTGACTGCCTGTGGAGAACCACAAACACTTACAGTAAAATCACCCCATAAGTCATAGGTTCAAATCCCACTTCCCTACTCCTAGGCAGCCATTGGTTCACCGCAGTCCTCTGCCAGTCAATTCATTTTACCTCTGTTTATTTGATGGTTAAATGTGTGCAAAGATGCAAACAAGCGATTGGAATGGACATTAATTAACAATTATTCACTCTCCCATTCTATTGCAAACGCCTGTTCAATCAATCGTGTTAAGAGAACGTAGATGTTTAAACGGGTCACTCCTTCGAGATAGTTTGTTTCTATCAATTACGTAACCAAGTTTTGTTACGAATTCACGTGAATGATCGTGTAGTAGTAGTAGTGGTAGTGGTAGTAGTAGTAGTAGTATTAGTAGTAGTAGTAGTACTCACTGAACTCGGAATACGAACCACACAATGTGAATCAAGGATTAGCAATCACAGATTGGATCGCGTAAGCACTGGACCGCACTAGTAGTAGCATGCAATATCCCAAGTAACTGAGACGTGATGAAAAGGCTACAGGAGTAGCGATTTCTTTACTGGAAGAAATAATGGGGATTAAATAACATGTACAAAGTTCATTTGTTATCCGGGCTTCTACCGATCGCCTTCCAGTATTGCTTGCATCGTTCTGCTTCTTTCTCGGCCACACGGTCTTCGATTGGCTAATACGATCTGCCAATGGTATGTGGTCAGAAGCAGTGACACGTACGCGCGTTGTTGACGTCACCCACGAAGTTTGATTGATCGCCGTTGTCCAAAAACTGTAACACGTCGCTCCAGAGTTCGCGTCATCCCGTAGGCCCGGACTACCACAAATGACACCGAATAAAAAACATTGATGATAAGCTGAGAAGTAGAACTAATAAAACGAGAAGGTGAGGATGGTTGGTAATGCGGGGTAAGAGGGAGATCCCATCGTAGAAAAGTGTGCTTGTTCTCAAGCCGCTGCATAAGTATCGAGTCTGGCATTCGATGGATTTCGAACCCTTGCTATGACACCAAAAGCATGATAATGAGCGAAGTTTAGCTCTTATCGATAATTATCCGCTAAATCTGCCGCGATTTGTATCCGAGGCCTAGATGTTCTCACTCCAAAACACTTAGACTGTACACGCTTCGGCCCCGTATCCACTGGCTACATGTAAGTGATGTACGCTGTACCCCTTGTCCGTTGCTGACGTATATGAAGTTACTATGCANTATGCAGTAACCGCCTCCCTGACCTCTCAGGAATGTTCCTGTAGACAGAGTAGTAAAATCCGACCAACTCAGCTTTTACCGTTCATGCCACAAAGCGATATAACCACACACACTTCTCTCATCTAATCAAATTCATGGGTGTCTATAGTTCATTCTATCTTTTCTCAGTTCAAACAAAGCCTTGAATTTTTACCTATATCACCACCACCACCAACAACAACAGAAACAACTCAGTTTCCCAGCTGTCACTAACTAGTGCATCTCACTTGGTATTGGGTAAAGGTGGTACAGGCCAGCGAGAGAGAGAGAATATGTGGATCAGATTGGTGGGGACAACAGATGTGGATACTAGCTATTTCCTTCCAATGCCTGGTCAGCCAAGTGACCAATTGTCACTTGAACTTTTCCGTATTATTCTACAACTCTATATCATATTCCTAAGCAATTTTCTGCAACATGCGAAGCATATTAAAGCATTCTGCTTTTGGAGTTTAAAAACCAGACAAGAAATCAATACATACCTCATTAGCAAAGTTAGCAAAGCATGCACACCAGTGAACTAATAACTGAAACTCATTGAACTATGATCTTGTAGCTGAGCACAGAATCCAAAATGCACAAACCCACATATGATACAGTTTCCGATGACGGAAGTGTCATCTGGTAAATGGAAATCAATTTCCGATAGTATTCCAGCATGACTGTAGTCGATCCTCGAAAGCTCCTGACGTTCAAAAAAAACTACCGCATTGTCGTGGAAAATTTGGGGCGAATGGTGCCAACTGTTGACCGCACACATCACAAAATAACTCTATTGGTTCGTCCCAGGTGTTTGGGTGTCCGGTGACGGGGTGGGGTAGGGTAAAGGGGAGGGGGAGTTCAGTGTTTCGATCAATCACCTATGGGCATCGAGCAGTGTGGGGGAATGATGAATCAAGTGGGTGTCACTTACCACAGCTTTGGTACCTTATCGGAACAGTTATTCGATTCGCTGAACCAGTAAATAAATGCCTGATTTTAACGATCTCTGCCAATACTTTCATCTACGGCGTTAGAAAAGTTTAAGTTGGAAACACAAAGCATTTTTTCTTTGTGTCCTGAGGGTCCTCACATGGGCTGCTTCTCTCTGTAAATGATACGACTTTTCCTGGGATTGTATGATCATATTTTAGGATCTAAGATAGCGAAATTTAANATCCAAGATAAAGAAAAGCTTACAGCTTCAATTTGACCCATTATCTCACACGGTAATCGAAATGGCCGGTGAGCCGACAGACGTGTATCGATCGAATAGAAAGGCATATTACAAACACGTTTAATTATACAAATCCAATTCTCGATCACGCAAAGCACGGTGATGCATAAAGTCATGCTATTGGCTCATCTCTGACCCTGTAGAGTAGCGCACCTCTTCATCCTCCTGCCTTCCCTGTTGGTTTGCCTCGATCAATGAGGGCAATAGATCGATCTATATTCATGGAATGTTTTTTGAGTTATCCAACCATATTCCACAGTAGATATTTACGTAATTGGTATTTTTATAGAAGATATTATCATACTTTTCACGCACTTTCAAGTAAAACACTGACCAGGCTTTCGCTCTGTTTTTTTTCCTTCTTCTTCTGATATTGTACAGTGGTCAATGGACAGCTGATTTGAACTCCTCCACCACTTGTCACTGGGGTCAGATCCCAGCCCGGATGATTATGACCCTGCTGACTCAACCGAATGTGACCTTGTTCACCTCATTTCTGACGGATATGGTCACCTATTTCGGCCCGACCGGGACACATACGGCCATTTTCAATCTGTTCCAGTCTACCGGGTACGGAGAAACCGGGAGCACTGATCAGACGCACAATCTGATGTTTTCCGATTTCACCAAGAATATATACGTGCCACCGGACGAGGAGACTGCAACCTACTATCGGTGGATCAGTACGTTACACACAAATTATGTAAAACATATATCAACAGTGCTCACGAATGGCCGTTGTGACTAATTACGCAATCATGATCCGATGAATACCAAACTCGAGAAAGCCTCAAACAGTAGGATTGATTTCTCGCCAATCAAAAAATCAATCAATCTATTGATTCACCGGAGATCCAATGATCAATAATCATGCAAACACTGAATGTAATGAAAGAATGTCAAGTTTAAATATTCTTGTGATTGTCTAGACATAGGCATTCCACAAACAGTGCGCTTTTATAAATACTTCTGAAAACGAATAGATATTTTGAAGACGCGCCATGTTGTGTGCACTAGCAGTGAAATGTAAATAATTTCAAATGTTATGATATACAGTTTCATGTTCGTAAACACGTGAACTAAAGACATGCATAATTCCTGCTGAATCGTTAAACTAAATTGGAATCGAGAGGAGTCCATGGGTGGAAAGGAAAATTTGGTTCGGCTGGCGTGTGAGACTACGTGAGAACTCATCTCCATAACAATGCACTTTCAATCAAACCATCTCCAATCCCGCGCTGTCGCTATTCGGACAGGTCGGCTTAGAACATACGCGAACTAAACCGTAGACTAAATGTACACGGAGTTAGGAAATTTTTGGTGTGTTTCGTAGTGTGATTGAATGTATCTATTAGTTTGGACGCACATGTTCGATTGGCATTGTTCATGTCTATCGGTCCATCGGTGAGACCCGTAGAAAGCGTTCAGTAGAATTTCAGAGCTGATTAAAATTTTCACATAAATTTGCCGAAAATCTGATTCAAACTTAGCAAGCTTAATCAAGTTGCTTTAATTGGGTTTTTCGAATGAATTATTTTTGTTTGGCCGAATGCCAATTTAATTGCCGGTAATTCATTTTACCTTGGAAATTACTATCCTGACGTATGATCGACGGTGAGATATATTGTGGTGTTATTTGAGACCGGTGGAGGATTTGATTGGGTTTTTTAAACAGTTTTGTCGGATACAGGGTAAGTGAAGCGTGAACTGAAAATATGAAAAGCATTGTACAACTGTTTTGATCTGATTGGGTTTTATCAGCGCAGTGCCTGAATCCATCGACCCGAATGGTGATCAAACCTGGTACCTCACAGGTAGAATGCATGCACTCTACTAACTTGACCAAATCAGGTCGTATAGTGCTTTCTAGCCTTTAGGTTCACGCTTCATATACTCCGCACACGAAGAATTTCACTATGAAATTACTAAGTTATGTCCTTTGTGCTTCAATGGGCGCACAGGCACTGTTCTAAATGCTACCAAACAATTTCGCGTTAGTTACGTTGCCTCCTTTCTGGCACAGGTCTATGTTAAATCCGAGGACTGAACGGCTCAAAGTACCATACCAGAAGGGGTGAGTAGAATCCGCTATCAGCCGGTAGATTGCTGTGCTCCTGAGACATTCCACATCACTTAGGTTATGATCACCTAGCGAACTTCCACCGATGCTTCCAAGAATCCGAGGTATGCATCCACCGGCAATTCCCGGAGATCTGCTCGACAGGTGGACTAAACGTGATTGGATGCTGCCGTGGTTTAAAAATTCGGTGAGACGGTGTATGCCGGTATGCGAAGATAGCTTCCCGTGAATGTATTTTTAGATCCAAGGCCTCATTGTATTGTATTGTATTGTAATAACTTCTGCAAGCATGAAGATCACATTTCAGTTAAAAATGTACAGGTTGAAGCGAGGGAGAAAATGAAAATAACTACAAAAATGGAGAGATTTAATTTCCAAAACTGTTAACAAATTCTGTGAAAACCTGTTCTTTGTTAACAAGAATACGTGCTAATGAGGGTACTGTGGAGTTACGATAAATGTTTATTCTAGAGGGAACACAACGATATTGTGATCTAGTTGAGGGATGGGAACAACAGGAAGTTAGATTTGCGTGTAGCGGATGTGTGAAGTCGATAGGAATCTTATGCGCAAAATTTTCACATGCATTCAAATAAGGTTCGCATAGGTTAGTTATCAACTCCTTTAGTGGGATTGAAGAGACACGGCCAATGATGGTCAGTCCACCTCGAAGTAAATTAAAATCGTTCTTAAGGAGATTAGGAAAAATAACAGGTGAAAAATAAAGTAAAACAAAGGAAACATGACAAACCATTGGTAGTGTATGGACTGTCCAACTGAATCCACTGGGATGAAATAAGGATATTTTGTCAAAATCCCACTGAACTTCATGAGCACTCTTGAAACCGGCTTATCCTTCCCTCAGAGATAGCCTTAGTAAAGTAAAGTACTTTGCCCGAACATGACTACGCAAACACCAGTAAGAACCGGAAACAATGTTATTCAAGGAACCTTACGTGTACCAGTTGTCTTGGTCATCAGCCTCAATCATTTGAGGGAGAGGAAATATGTTCATTTAAACATTCTCCCGCGAGTGGTGGTGGGATGCTATATATTTCAAATTGTTCTGGATACCAGCTCGGTTCCTTGAGGGAATAGGACAAGAGAAACACTCCATTGGTGATCTGTTCGAACTCTCGAATGCTTATTCGATTATAGTGCTGCAATATCCATTCAGAAAAATGCATTTGAGTGATGATGATCTTTACTGACTGAGAACCAAGCGGGAAGAAGCTTGCACTCGGGTGAAACGGAGTTATCATGACTGATTTAAAAGCATACTCCGTTCCACATGTGCATACATCTGTGTGTACAGTCGTGTACCAGTTCCCCAGCGTTACTCGTCAGTTGTTTCTCGCATCGATTTCCTTCACGCATTGGATCAGAAGGATGAGCACAAAAACCTTCAACGTTGTTTTCTCTTTCTGTTCATTTTACTTCCTTTTACTGAGGTTATAATGATATAATTCTCGGGAAGGGGGAAGCAGCCAATCAGAGGGCTGCCATACAACACAAATGGGGAAAGTTAGGCGGTGGTGGTGGGATTCGAACACTCATCCTCTGGGGTGATAATTTGGTGGCGTTAGCACTGGGCCACCACCACCACCCAAGCAAACTTATGAAAACCAATTCTGTGGATTCGTATATGATTGATCTTCTTGTTTACGGTTTTGTAGTATATCTGTCTGAACTACTGAAGATTACTGATTCATATGTAGACTTGAGTTGTCCTCTTGAATTACATTCAATCGATTTGATGTGCTCGCTTATCTGTAATTCAGTCATTTTGGTCCCCGTGTCACTTAAACCCAAATGCTGCAAAACTGATTCAATCGATTCCGGTACAGTCCAGATCGAACTTTGTTTGCCCTCATAAGGACATCATTTTGGTTCCAAAATGATTGTCATTGACATGATATTTGATCCTTGGGTGTGGCACCTACCCCCCCTACCCCGACCCGAGCACCGACAACTGGTTCGAGAGCAAGGACATCGGAGTCTCAGTTCTTCAATCCTCGTGTAACAGGGGTTGAATGTCACATGCTCAGACTCGTGTCTCGATGTTGACTCATCCTCCCCACACACACACACATACATACGAACTATCACTAAGTATGACAACTGTACAATATGATGAATTTCGTCATGTAAAGAGCAAATAAACCGTGGACGGAAAAGCTTGAAGCACTGTACAGCTGTTTCGACATGCTTGGGTCTGATCAGGAGTGCCTGGATCTATCGACCCAACTAGGGATCGAACCTGAGACCTGATATGAGCGATATGGGATGCGCATAACAATGTGGATTGTGCTATATCGTGTAAAGGCAAAATAGAAAGAAACAGTTTGGTCAACTGCCCGGTGATTGAGTGAGTAGTATACTTGCGCTAAACCTGTGAGATCCCTGACCCAATCTCCATTTGGGTCGATGGATTCATCCACTGCATTGACCGGACTGAAGCAGGTCGAAACAGTTTCACAGTACTTCCTGGTTTATCAGTTCACTCTTCATTTGTTCTGTACACAACGAAACTAACCAAATGATCAAATCGCATCCTCAACTGCTCTCATGTAATTATCGAATAGTAAATTTTCTAGACCCATACGGGAAACGCAACAAAGTCAAACTCGAAACATATGTGTAACATCGATACGTAATTGTACTACACCAGGTCAGGGAACAATCGTATTAAGACATGAATATCAAGAATCACCACACGAGTTCCCTGAGGCGTGTTCTCTGTCAGCTCATCAAATGGGTAACCGAGCGGTGTGCAACCAACAGTGGCTGATTTGCAAATGTAATCGGTTCTTGGGTCAGACTGTACCGTTTCCGAAACAGACGTTTGTAGTCCGCGGGAATGATATGCGTGGCGGATGACCGAGTGTTCATGCTGTCAGGGGGAAGCCTAACCACCCCTAAGAATTCTCCCGGTTTCAATTTGAAATGGATTGGGATCAGTCGCCATAGGGAGAACGTGTTGGCGTTATCTTGCGGGTCCGTCCTGGATACGTAGTCGACCGGGGGACGAACATAGAACGGCAACCTAGTTTGTGCAATCTGTCTATTGGCGCCCTCGTAACACCGATACCGAAAAAAGGAGCAGACTGTGATCAACACGATCTATACCGCACATGTTTCCCTTTCTCAATCCACCTTTTGGTTGGCACTATCGATCAGGGCTTGCACTGCTTGCAACTGCCTTTACCTGGGATCGTTTGAATAGGCATCGTCCGACCATGCTCGATGATAGCTTGACGAGACACAACACAAAATTTGACCTTGCGTCGGATCAACTGTGGAAGATGAACGGGAACTCACGATTAAACTCATTCAAAGGTGGTCAGTTCCTTCCAATGGTTCTGTGGAGATGGAACAGGGAATTTCGGGTGTTGTTGGGGTTAGTCAATGGATTATTAAAATCTTGTGAGTATATGTGAACGATTAAATCGGTATACATGTGTTCGTTCATGTGGTCCTTAGATTACCATCACGAATCATCACCAAACCGTTGCTAGCGATGAAACTTGGGATGACCGCATTAAGACTGTTGGAAATGCCAATCTTAGGCTTATAGTATGCTCAAAAAATGTCATGGATAAACAGACTAGGGACACTGGTAAGTAAAGTGATGTAAAACACCAGTGCAAACAGTTCATGCTGGAAGCCCCGAAAAATCTCATTGGGTCAAATCAAACATGCGGTCTTTTTTCCATGGTAAAATTTTCGTAACATTTACGCACTTCCAGCTCTAAATGTCTCCATTTGCGCATTTTATTGGTATATTTATGAGGTTCCGTTTCGCCTGCTGTGAAACTAATTTCCACCCGAGTATAAATACCAACAGACTATAGAGCTATATAGCGGAGATGACTGAATGATTTATCGATTGAACCGATCGATAAATACCGGTGGCGCTATTCGGAGGTTGGCAAACAAGTTGATCTGGTGAACCATTTGTAGTGTTGGTTTTTCACAGACCATTGACCAGAAACAGAAACAGAGGAGATACAGTTTTATCGGGAATTCGGACTGTGAGATTCTTCTACTATATGCTCTCATTTAGTATCTATCTGAGTTTATTTATTTAGTTTCATGATTTTCCCCCTAAAAAAAGAAATTCTGTTTGTGGGAAGAAATAGGAGCGAAAATCCCGAAAGGAATTGACAGTCACACACACGCACACACTTGGCGTAGCAGATAAGTTGATTTATTCAAAGATTAACCGGAAGTACTGGGCATGTGTCCCTGCAGGCTTAATCGGATTGACCTTGTGTAACCAACCAAACTGTATACAGCAATAATTAGGCGTAAAACGTGAACAAAATGAATGATGGTATAACAGCATTCCGGTTCCAAACAGAATCTACGGGAAATTTTGCATGTTCTATTTTTACTGTTTGGCAAAATATGGCGAATGTTTCCGTGTTGTTCAACGATGCCTCGGATGAATTTGTACCGCTGCATGAACCGCGTCAAGGCTTTTTGTAGAGTTCAGCGATGAGACTATACCAGCAGCGGTGATGTTTTCATATTACGTTCTCTATCTAGCTTATATATATTTTTTCAACAGATTTGAATATGGATGAATATATATATGCATATATATATATATGTAGTGTCAAATGGAGCTCAGCAGCATTTCTTGTAAAACGGTATTCAGCGGCCCTGTGTCCCGATTTTCGTGGAGAGAACTAGATTACAAAAACAAAATGTTAGTAACTGTGTTCAATGCGTGAGTTAGATATAATTGTTCCAGTAGGTATGAGCGTGCCGATAACCATCGCGATAGATAACGGTCAGGTAATAATAACGATGATGACAACAATAGTCATGTACTTCCATTTATCAGAACCCCATGGTTGTACAATCAATGTGAGGAAACAGGGGAAAGCTAGGACGATTTCACCGGTTAGAAATTTATTTTAAAGTTCTCATCTGTGGAAAACTGTTGGGTTTGAGTGTAATCGCTCCCGGCATCCCGCACAGATGAAAGAAAAGAGTTGTTTATTTTGGTCGAATAATTCATTGGTCCAATCCAGGAGAAATTAATTTGTCTTTCGCGTGGTCCGCGGTCATTGAATAAGGCTTGCGACAGTGAACTATTCCGTTCGGCGCGCAGATGGATTGAATTCACGCATCCGAAAATAGAGGGGTTACGTACAAAAAGTATGACAAAAAGGTTGATCATCGAAGACTGAAAACTGTGCGTTTTCACAGGAAAAATATTCTCCTGCTTCATTTGTACAGTTTATGTAAGAAGTGGATTGCATTTATTAGTTCGTTCTTGTTTCTTTCCATAGATTTGATTCATGGTATATAAAAGTGAGGATGGAGTAACGCAACGTGCGCACATTCTATCGTTTCTTTTTTTCTTCTTCGATTGAACATAAGTATAATGATACATAAAATTTTCAGGAATCAACCCAAAGGCTACGATGCACAGAACACTTGGAAAGTTAGGCCGCTGCGGTGTTGTTGCTGTTGGTGGTGGTGGTGGTGGTGGCGGTGGCGGTTCGCATGTACGTCCTCCAAAGAGATAGGTTGGTGATCTTGACCACTGTTGTCCGTCTATTATCAGTCATGATAATCTCGGCTCATGAGTGGTGGTCGCCAAGCCATACAGATGGGGATCGCCTCCGTTAGAAAATCGTGTGTTCCAAACCAATCACAACCACTCTGTATTCTTTCAATCCATTTTATTCAATGAAAGAAGGAGAAAACTTTAGAGACCACTTCTGTACATACGCCGAAGAGGTGGGATATGCCGGTGCTGATCAATCTAGAAAATTGTGGGCTAGTTGTATAAGATGAGATTCGACAGATGATGCAATCATGTGGGCAATACTCATGTTCTTTGTCACAAAACTTTTCCGTGTGTTCAGTGCTCTCGTATATTCGAGGACAAATGCGTTGTGAGAAATAAGCTTTGAATTTCATGTTGCAGGAGAGCTGAATTCTCAGAGAATTGAACTCTGTATTTCCAATATACCATAATTTAATCACGTTTCTCAAAAGGGAGCACCTCTTAAAACTGCCAACTCATCAGAGTTGACCAAATTATCCACATCACTTGTTCGACTTCAAATGTTGCACTTCCTGAAACGTTCATACCGCCCCCCCCTCTCCCACCTCGCACTCCAAGTTATCTGTGCTCCTGTTGTTGCTACGTTCATGTTAGGGGCTACCAAGACAATCGAGAGCTCGATTCTCCATCNCCATCCCCCCCTACCCCCCCCCCGCGGTACACACACACATGGATGACCGTGGATGGTATCGCATAGATTTCACAGTCGTAAGAAACCAGTGTGACAACTGTGACAACAAAGCTTGGTTTCTAAGTTTACTTCCAGTAAACAATAACTTTGAAAACATCTCTAACTGCGATCGTGAACACCGGAGAAAGCTCCAAAACAATTCCTTATCATTTATCGGCGCTCACGGTCAATCCCATTTCAATCTTATTTTTTTCTCGTAGAGATACATGTTCTGAATTCACTCAATTCTTTTCCATTCCAGCCTCCAATTTTCTTTACTTTTTTTTATCAAACCGCCAGATGAACACGTAGTATTCATGATGCAATATTTTGTATAATTTGCCAATCATTCAAGTCTCATTCGATGATGAATAATTGGTAAACACATCAAGAAACTTACCTGTGAACAATCCCGCAAACAATTTTGTTTATATACATTCACTCTCACTGTTATCCGACAAGAAGTAAAAACTTAAAAACAAGCATTAGGAGACGCACATTATTCCAATAAGCTTTTCATACATATTTGCTATCCTTTAAGTTATAAGTATAGAATGACTGGGGGTTCACACGAAACTGAAGGTTATTGAAGGACACATTACACCTTTGCATACTCACGTGACATTTGTTAATCAATGCAAATCAAATCCAATGGGAACTGACAGGTAGGTATGGATGCCTTGTTTTCGGCTAGAAGAGAAACCAAAATGTGATGAACTACCAAATAATGTTCACATCCGATCAGCTTCATTGGTCTACTGCCTTTTTCCCCAGATGCAAGTTTCCTTGAAGCATTGAAAAAACTGGATCAGTGCCCGCTGCCCACCATGGGCTGGTGCGTGATTGACGAATTCGAGATGGACAAGTGCCAGCGCATGAGCAGCGCGTTTGCTGCGCGCAGCATTCAGCCCGATTTGACTTGTCTTCAAGCCGAATCCGTTTTGGATTGTATGCGGCTGATCCAGGACGGTTATGCGGATATGGTCAACCTGGAGGCGGGTGATTTGTATGCGGCGGGCAAATACTTCGGCCTCGTCCCCATTGTGGCTGAGTGAGTGTGGATATCGTTTTTTGCCTCAATCTTTACCGATCGATATTTAAGTTAAACTATCATTAAGGTTTATTGATTGAACAGTGAGTGATTGAGAGTGAATGGTTCACGTGATTCAATTGCTTGACATTAAAGGGTTTTTCAGACGCAATCAAATTTGAAAGGAAACAGGAGAAGGGTCCAAATATCCCATTCATACTTTTCGGTATATATGCAAATATCGTAACCAACTTTAGAAAGCGTCTATTCGATTCCAAGCCTGAACTCGAATGCTCAATTGAGCTACATAAGACAACCTTAACAAGCTCGTAAAGCTGGAATGAGAAAATTCATGTGTGGATGAGGTGAAACCGGTTGTCCGGCGAAAAAAGATGTTCACTTCTTCCCACATTTTTTTCCATGTTTCATTTGCTCTGTGTACGACGAAGTTTTTCAGGTGATCAATTTCACTGAATGAAGAAAACCCTCATATAGTGCGCATGTATTTCAAAAATGGTTATTCTGCAAAACTGTTAAGCAGATGCAACCGTTTCTGTGCAACACATGTGTACAACTTGACAGGAATCGATATTTATGAAAGGGGGGGGGGAGGACTGAAAAAGATTAACAATCGAGATGGAGAAGCATTAGGTGTGACTAATTGTGATGGCGATGGGAGCCGGTCGATGAACTTAATCGGACTGAAGATAACAGGTGTGCTTGGAATCGGTTGTCTTTTTTATTTTTGCGCCTAAACAGCACAGGATTAGACAGCCTAATGATTATGGTCTCAGCTCATCACATTGTTTTTCTTTGTCACGGTAAACAGCAGAGAATTTTTATTTACGGATTTGACCCTCCCCCCCCCTGTGCCCTGTTTCGTGCATATGTTTGCTGGTAGTTGTTCTGACACTTCCGTGGCAAGACATTTCAAGGACGTCGGGATTATGTAACGAGGTTTCTTCGAGTTTGCACTGGGTAAATGCATTACATAGGAATTGAACCGAGACGTTCATCATTGTCTACCTGTGGAAATTTAAACTTGACACAACATCTCGGAAATGTGATGAGAATTAATTGTGTCCAAAGCACATTTGATTTAATTCTGACGGGGGAGAGAGTATCTTCAACACCAGTGTCGAGGAGTTGAATGGTCCCTGAAATAACACTCACACACACACACACAGGTGATTTTCAGCATTTACGGTGGTATTCTATTAACACAATTCAAACTACTTTGTGATTACTTCAGTAGTAGGCGAACACAATGCCGGACTACCAAATGCATTGATTGCTGAAAACCAAAAACAAAATCACTTTATTCAAGTTCTGTTCGTTTAATACCGTGTATGTAACCGTCCACACTGAAAATGATAAAATCTATCGAGGTTGAACCATAATCTAATTGTATATTTTTTTCAAAAATAGATTCAGCCTTCCCCTGGGAGGATCATTGCAACTTGGGATTGTGATCAATGCTCGGTTGGATTGCTTGACTAAGGGAGCCTAAAGCAAAATATGCTCGGTTGTCCTTGCAGTTAGTGCGAGAATCGTTACGTATGAGTCTAGTCGACCAGTTCAAATTACCAGTTCAATACAATGATGTATTTGTCCTTCGTTTGTATTGATTGAATACTGTCAACCGAACAATTGCCCTCGTCCTCGCATCCCATTGGTCGAATTAAAAAAATTATGCCAGTGCAGTCTGGCAAACACATACTGTGTGTTTTAGTTTGCGATTCAAGCGTACACTCGCAAGCAGCTTCAATTTTTGCCATAAATAGGGATTACACATTATTATAAAAATTGGTTCTTGAAGGAATTTGTTATGTGTATTGGCTTAACCCACGTAAACTACGCTTCAAAGGGCGCACAATTATTTCCGATCGGTTATCATCTTCACTGGGTTCCGATCCATTGAAGCATATCAATTGTGACTTAGTGACTGATCACTTAATCAACCTTGAACCTATCCCTTAGTTTATCACATGTGCACCCATATAGGGTATTGGGAACAACACCGAACAGCACGTTTCACAAATCAGGTTCTGGATGCACTAGCGATCAGAATAGCTGGTACGTATGAATTAGGCGTCTGTGTCTACAGGTATTAGCCGTTACACTATCTACCCTTGTTAAGGGGGAGCAGTATGAGTCATCTATCGAGCGGAATCCAGATTTGAATTCGTTCACTCATTGCACTGTGTTAGTGCTAGTAGCAATAACGGTAAGTCTTCTGTCCCCCAGCTAAGTAACACGTATCAGAGGCCAAGATTGTTGTTGGTGATGGTTTGCAGTTCTGATTTACCAATCCAAGTTCTAGAACTTTGCCATCCAATTTTTATGGCCACCTGTGGATAACCCACCCGGTTGTGAGTCATGCCAAGACTACATAGTAACAGACCACGCTCAAAACAAGCGGTCGCGTATACACAAACGCGTTTGGGCATAATCCTAACGGGTGTTCATAGCTTTTCCGACTCTGTTCCCCCTAATCAGTTTTTACTATACACACCAACTATTACCTAAATCTGGATACTGTCTATTTGTAGGAAAAGTTGGGAAAATAAAATAGTATCTTCATTATGACACAAATACATCTAAAATTCGACAAGCTTACCATGTTTTTGTTCTAACCCGTGAGAATTCACAAATATCACAGTCTGTGTATTGATCTTATTCCACCGGTCTCATTGTTTGGGCACTGTGTAACTTTCTCATTGGCCTCGTACACTTTTTTGCTTTGGTGGCATTTGAAGTACTCACTGGCAAAGAGTCGACAAAGATCAATACACAGATTGTAATACGTTAAATTTACTGATATGGTTTTGAACTGAAGTGGTTGACTGTTGATCGAGTAACTAATGTGTAAAGATTTCAACACCAAATCTGGAGTTTCACGGTTCGAGTCCCAATAGGAACACAAACTAGCACATTGTTGATGATGTTTAGCAAGGATGAAACAGTTGTCCATTAGCATTTGTCAGTCCATACACTTATCTGATGCTTGGAACCAAAGAGAAATAAATGTCACAATAAAACCAATTCAAATATGTAACAAATTCCACAAAGTGATATCAAAAGGAACCACATAACTGTTTGCAGAAACTGACAGGTTTAACCAGGGGTATTTATCTGAATATCATATGAATGACCCGATTTGAGGGGGTGGGAGGGCGGTCATGTTACTATACGCTGTTGTCGAATCGGAAATCATCTAGAAAGTTTGAATCATTTGTTTTCTCCCCCGCTCCCTCTTTCTTGAGGTGCATCGGTTCATGCAGCAGCAAGACATGTATTTCACTCGAGTGATGCGGGGTCCGGATCCGGGATGGACCAATTAATGTGTCTCAATTTCGTGCCTCATTTGGAGAAAAAAATTAAGTCTGCGGCTTCTTTAGTTGAGTTCGGGCTTGTGTGTGAATTTGAAGTCTGGAGAATAGTCAGTTAAGATCTATGTTCAGTGATTCCACTCATTAAAAGCAGTTTTCACATAAGTATCTGAAATTAGTGAAATTAGTGTGTGTCTGTTTGCGGAGCAAATGATACGTCGGCCGTAACGTTAAGAAGCCCTGTACAAGTTGTTCGACGTGGTTTAGTCCTATCGACCGTACAAAACGATCAACCCAACTGAGTCGGGAACCTAACAGTTTGAACGCAAAGGCACACCTGAGCACAGAACAATTGATCAGACATTTTTCTTGGCACAAACTATGTTTGCGGGCTTGTTTTATGCATCATACCTAGCGCGCCTCAGCACTCTCCCCCAGGGTTATGACTTGATTGGGAACATGTTGCACCTGTCAAATCCCCACAAGAGTTGTACATTGATTGCTTCCAAGCTTTTTGGTTCATGCTTCCTTTGCTTTAGATGCGAAGAAATTTACTACGTGAATATATGTGTTAGTGTGCGATGGTGTTTGACATCTTCTGTAGGGGTACAGCAGAAATAATAATAAAAAATTTCGTGATACATTATTGTAGAATCTCGATGACTGTGACATCTACGTAGACTAGAGACATTTTTATACTGATCTGTTAAGTCATGGATGAATTGCCGACGAGGTATACAGTTTTCTTGAAGTATCTATAGTCGGTCCAAAACTTTAGAGCACTGTGTTTGAAGCAGAATTAATTCAGCAAAGTTCTGCAACTGCCCATAAAAGCAGGGGACGTTGATGATGCATATTGACGATGCTTTAACGCCGCTGTCTCATGATCGTTTGCCAAGTAGACGGATAAACAATCAGTAGACCCAAAGTATTCAGTCGACTGTCGTATGGCTTGACCCCAACCCGATCAGATCATGCGTAAATGATCTCAAAAATGGTCCAGTGAGTGTGTGGCTTGGTCATTCACGTCAAACAAGTGAACGCAAACGAACGAACGTCTTGGTGCACTGGAATAAACGTACACGGATTAAAGGACCGCGGTCCTATAAATTATTGATCGATTTGATACGTCAAGTGGTACAGCGGTACTGCGGCGTACATACACTTGTTTGTGCTCACACCCGCACATTGAACTCAGTTATCGGAGTTGACACGCGATTCTCATCAACGAGATATGCAGCTGAAGCGGATAAAGTACGGTGCAATAGGGGAAGGAACATCCGGGTGTCGGACTTGTATGTTCAACAAGAAACCTCTTGGTCAATTTCCTACCCTTATTCCATGGGAATGTTGTGCAGGTTTAGCGTAGTTGTGAGATAATGCGATGATTGTTGGAATGCTGTAAAATACCTTACTAATTTGGAGTTTTTTCTTCCCAAAGGGAAAGTATTGCAAGACGTACCGTTTACTTGATGTCAGAACATCAATCATGGTTTCTGAGAGTTATTTCACCACTATGTATCCTCATCAGGTATCAGGGAGAATGATTATGATAATAGCACAATTGGAAAGAAACGTTTATTCATCGCAGAATGAGTCAAACACTTAGCAATAACCTTGCTAGTTCGAATAACCCAAGTGATTTCGAGTTCCTCACCCTAGATTACCATACACAATGGATCCAGTGCTTCATCATTCTTGACATGAATGAATTATTTTGTTTCATTTATCCACTTCATGAGGATAGAAGGAAGATAGTTTACAACATCCATGCTTTTATCGACATGCATCGTTAACTACATATTAAATGTGAGTTCATACGTGTCTAGCGTCTGATTAGTTAACGCATTCTTTGCTGGATGAAAAACAGAACAGGTCAAACGTGCAATAATGAGGATCGAGTGTTCACTCGTGGAAATGGGAAACCTTACCCCTCGGAGTTGAAGTTGTGAACCATGTTTGTCTGGTGTTCGGTTGAATAACGGCAAAGCTCTCTACCGGCAAAATTTGTAATCCCGATAATCGGTTAACGCTCGATCGATTGGAAGGCAGTCATGATAAAGATTGCATCAGATCTGCCCGGGAAGAACACTAGTAAATGCAAGTGAGAGGAAATGGAAAACTTGGTTGAAGGGACAAGGGTGATGTTCTATAATGAGATTTCCCGCTAATAGATTTTATTGTGCAAATTGTTTTAAAAGACTGAGTTAAGTCAATTTCATGGCAGGTTAAAAGGATGTGGTTCACGAAGCTGGGTTTATTTCTGATTTCCTTTGTCACTCACTGGCTTGGATTGCGCCATCGATTGAGATGCGCTCTGATTCAAGTACGCGCATGTACACACACACACAAAGCAAAATAGACCTGTACAGTGCTTCCTGTGATGAGTGGCACATATATTCAGTACGATGGCCAAACAGTTGATGAACGACCCCCCATAATGCTTCAATAAAATAATTCTATCATCCTAATTTTTGTTTTGGCAGATTAGAGGTTTGTATGTTGATTGTGAAAAGTTCAGTAGCCTCAGTGGGATTCGAACTCATGCATCATCGGAGTCATCATCATCAACAGCAGAAGCAGCAGTAGCATGCGAGTCATCATGATCATCATCATCATCA